AAAATGTCTATATGCACAATGGAGTTTTAGTCATCCATAAAGAAGAATGAAATCATGTCACTTGCTGGTAGAATGGACCTAGAGAATATCATACTGAGTGAAATAAGCCAGACACAGAAAGTCGAGGGTCAAATATTTTCTCTTATATATGGAAACTACAGAGAAATAAAATTTTTAAATGTGTGTGTGTAGGGGGGGTTCTCATGAAAATAGAAGGGAGAACGGTGGAGTAGAGGAAGAGGAACAAAGTGGAGAGGGAGGTATGGGAAACAGGAAGAACAGCAGAATGAAATTAATCATTAATTAGGTCATATGCATGTATGAACATACCACAGTGATTTTTTTGCTTTTATATATAACTTCAATGCACCAATTTACAACAGAGTATGGCAATAAAAACACTTACCCATAAATTATGCCTGCAATGGTACACTTCTTAAATGCCATTGTATTGCAAGTGAGGGTTCCTGTTTTATCAGAAAATAAATATTTTACCTAAACAAAAAGTGAACATGAAAAAATCACATGTTTAAAATGTACTTACATATCAAAGACAACAAGATTAAGTACTTTCTAAATTCTTAAAATATGTAAATTTTTTAGAAAGCAAGAAATGCAGTCCATTAGAATTCTACCTTAATATTTATATTTATTTTGAAAGTTATGTTCTTTGTTTTACACTTGAGGTAAAATTGAGTAGTTATATGCAAAACAAACTTTAAGCATCAAACCAAAAGAAAATCAGAAGCCAAGTTCATTTTCTTACCGCAGAAATTTCATCAAAAGTATCTAGAAAACATTAAATAGATGAAAATGAAATACAAACTCTATGCAATTTTAATTATGGTCACAACTACAATGCTCATTTCTAAGAATAAATGAAAATTCTGTCAAACTCTATATTCTCCTCTCTGTCCAGTCCCTAGAGACCACTATTCAGTTGTCTGTCTCTATGAATTTGACCTCAGACTTATAAATAGAATCATTTAATCTCCTTTTTATGGCATATTTTACTTAGCATAACGTCCTCAAGATTCATCCATGAGAGGCTAAGGATATATTTCAATGGTAGAACACTTGCCTAGCATGTGCCAAGCTATAGGTTTGATCCCCAGCACCAAACACACA